GTTAGTGCATGCGCCATGCTACGTCATTGCTCTATCACGTACGCACAGTCGCTTCGCGCAATATAAGGTTTGCTAGCTGTGGGACGAGTGGGAAACTTACTTTTGGGACGCGCCTCGTATTTTGGTAGAAGTTTACCAGTATTGCAGGAGTGCTGGCGAGATGATGCTGGAGGCATGTTGATGGTGCTTAGTTAAACACCAAAGCGTTACCTTTTAAGTAGGTGGTTTGTACAGGTCAGTGCATCTATTCAGTAGAATGGAATGTTGTAAAAAAAAAATATACTCTATGTTTATAGATTGTAAAACCCCTAGAAGGATCATTGACATTGGCCACCTGGTCTCAACTTGCAACCCCCACACTTGGTGGACTTTTGGATGAGAGACCAGGAGTAAAGATCCGTGGCGGACGCCAGTTAGAAGACCTTGGGCTGGAACTGTACTCTCTGTCAGACCTGGAAGAAGACGAAGAGAGTGTAAACCCTGGCAAGAGCTTTCAGAACACTGGCTCTGTGTACACATACACAAACAGCATGGTGCTACATCCTGATGATAACACCAGTGTCACACCCAGGTCAGAACTAAAACATGCATAATCTTCCACAAAACATTTCTGAGTATGTGTATCGCAGATTGAGAAAGAGGTTTGGAGTGACAGTTTGGCAGTACTGTCAGTTGCTTGATCCCTTATTCCAGTATTCCCCTTCCGCCTTCTTCACATGGAAGCAGCGGTTTTGCCATTTTGAGTTTGTCTATTCAGCTTTTTTTTCCTCCGTTCTCAAAAACATTTACTTTGCCTTCCAATTTGTAGACATACATTCTTGTGCTATTCTACTTTTGATGTCTTCCCAAAACAATTCTGTGGGATTTTAATTTGGATGGTACAGAGGAAGGTTCAGTGCATTACATCGATAGTATTTAATTTTATCATTGATTCCATCAATGATTCTGATTCATCCATTTCTTGCTGAAGAGCAGATGACAGAGCGTACACTGGTGTTTCAGGTATAAATCAAATACAGTTGTTTTTGTTATAGAGAAATGTGAATTTTTAGTTTTGTATTGTGTTATAAAAGTGTATGAATTTGAGCCACCTTAACATAACACCTTTTGTTGGTGAGTGTACTTGTGACTTATAAGAATTTCACTCTCTTTGTCGTAGCCGAATTGAGACTTCAACATAAGATGCATTTTTCACATATTTCTTACAGTTGCTGAAATATTTAAATGGAAGGGAAATTTATACTGTCATCTCGCAACTTGAGAATTCTTGGATTGATTTCCATACAATTTTTATATGTGTGAAACACAAACATAATCATGGTGATTTGTGAGAAAACAGTGAAACTTTTGTGGGAAATTCATAAATTTTAATGACTAGTGAGTACGGTGAGATATTGTTATTTCTGCTGGTGGAAATTTGCTTTAAGAATGTGGCATAATGTCATCCAAATCTCAGCTGATAAGTGGAGCACGTACATGGTAGAACTCCATCTCTCTAGTTTTAGTAATGTTGATTAGTTTTATGCATGTTTTATACTAAAATGAATTTCTGCAAAATAATATTCCACTTATATACACACACAAAAATTGCTTGGGAATGGTTAAAAGTGTGAGTTTAAGAATGTGGGTGATTTCTTGGCCCTACACATTAGCATTTCTTCGCCATTGTAAAGAAGTTATCTGTTCCTATTCATGACCTTTCATTCATAGGTTAAAGTATTGTTGTCATAATGAAAACATTGGCTCACACACACACACACATTTTATATATGTATATAACAAAATGTTTCTTGTGCAGCGTCCGTGGCAGCCAGATGTGCACAGTGGCAAGCTCAAGACAACCAACAGCCCCCCAGACACCTGTTGCCCTGAGTCGACGTGGCTCAACCTCAACTTTTTCAACCACATTAGGCCTAGCCAAGATGCTCAATGAACGAGGTATCAAGGCTGTTACTCCATCAGCAGTGGCTACTCCATGTGGGGATAGAAGTTTCACCCCAACTGCAACCCCATGTAACAGCCCAGATGGTACCCCACCATCTTCACCACCACCGTCACCGCCTCCATACAACCCTCTGAAATTTCCAGGTATTAACTTTCTTTAAATATATATTTCATTTAAGGGAAACTTGTTTTATTCTGGCCAAATGTCACAGCTGAGAGTTAACACTCCTGATTCATATTTGAGGGGTTCTGGGTTCAAATCTCAGTCCAGAGACTGGCTTTTCTGAGTGGGGCTTTTAGTGGTTTTTTTCTTAGTCCCCCCAGGAATATGCTGAAAGATTACCTTGAATTAGGCCATGACCACTTCCATATAATTTACAATTTATTATTTTTATTAATTGTTTTGTCATCTGATGCTATATATTGCCAGTTACTGAATTTGTTTTTAAACAAATTACAAATAAATACAGTGGAACCTCGATATATCGCGGCTGTGATCATGTCCCCCAATATGATAGCATGTTTTATGTTGTACAAATTTCTATGAAATGTTTTGGTTACATTATGAGACTGTATTGCAACATTCCTTGCTTTAGTGTGCAGGTGCAGAGGGTATTATTCATGTATTTTAGTCACTGGATAAATATGCATAATATCAGGGATTCCAAAATTAGATAAATGTCAATTTCACATCTAATGTGCGTACTGAAGCTGTCCCCTGAAACCCGCATTATATCGAGGTTCCACTGTGTTATATTATTCTGAAGTTAATTCCAGAAATATTGTAATTGATACCTATTCTTGCCCTTAACCTGTTCCCACTTTTTTTTTCAGGTTTCTTATCCAGTGGTGCGGATCTTCTAAGATGGACTCTTACAGGGGATAGTGAATGCCAAGCCATAAAAGCACATAGCAAGAAAAAGCGTAGCAAAATGGCTTTGTCCCGTTCTGAAAGAAAGGTGACCTTTGCACTTGAAGAATTTGGTTTTGATACTTCTTAAGACTATATATATATATATATTCTTTCCATAGAGCACTTTGCACTATGTTACAAGGTGTACACCATCACTTTTGAAGTATTAATTCTGGCATTTGTTAAACTGGCGTGAATATATTAATTTTGTGAATCGAGTACAAGTTGTCACCAAATAATTAGTGTTTCGTTGCTATGGAAAACTTGAATCTGACTAAAGTTAACTGCTTCCTTAATTATTCTGAGTTATTTTGGAAAAGTGATTTTTGCAAACAAATATTAACCTGCATTCGTTCAGGTTAATGTTTGTTCTTATGTCGTATGTTACTAAACCGAGTTAATTCAGATTATGGAGAAAATATGTAGATGTCAGTAAATGTAAGTCTGCTGATTAGAGGTTTGCATGGGCGTCAGTCTGACCCAGCTTAAGGGCAAGGCCTGTTCCTGGTAGCACAGATAGTGTTCATGTCCAAGCCTGATTAAAGTGATGTAATTATCAGGGTGAGATGTGAATAGATCAGGCTTCATTCAGTGGACCAATGTTAATTTACGGTAGTGTCACTCCCATCTCGCATGTCTGTGCATCCACCATGTTGGTATTACAACTGGAAGAAATTAAAAGTTTGATTTTAGAGTAGCCTCCAGCAACATAATGTCCATACCAAATTTAATCAAAATCTGTCCATTAGTTCTTGAGTTGAATCATGCAGACATGATTAGCCCTGTATGCATTCATTTTATGCACTTATGCAAAGAATGCATAGATGTTTGGTGCTTTAAAATGTAGGATTAGAAGTTAAAGATGGGGTTATGAGTCAGCTTTTCGTACTGTATTCCGTAGTCACAGTAATGTAAGGAGAGGACTCCATCGCTACAAGTTGAGTTGTAACATATCATTCAGAAAGTCAGGACACATGTACTTATTTTGCATGACTTTCATGGATATTGACATGTAGGCATTAAAATTGAAATTGTTTGTCTTGACGTGAAACAGATTTCAGCGACTAAAGATACACTGTTTTTGTGCTTGCAGGCTCTAGCAGGTATCCGCCTGGTGGAGAAACTAGAGAGGATTGGTTTGGATGCAATCATGGCAACAACAGCAACCCCCATGTCTGCTCTAACACTGCAAGGTGCCCTTTATACACGTCGTACTCTGAAAAGTCCTATGGCTCAGTTAACAAGTCTAAAAAGTGCCATAGCTTCACCTGCCGCCTCTGCTATGTCTACCACTGCAACAGCTGCTGAAAAGACACCATCTGTTGGGTACCAGAATGTAGAGCAAGGTCTAGGTGTGCCTGGGAGACCTGGTTCTGGACTATTGGATCGTCCACCACCTGCCCCGGCGAGGAAACAGCGGACCAGCGGAATGGTCCGGCCTGACCTCGGAACGGTGCTCGGGTCAGTTCCTGCCAAAAGAAGTTGTGATTCAATAGAAGTCAGCCCTAGTCCTGGAACCCTGGGTACGATAAGCTCGTTGCTCTTTGGTCGTAAAGGCGGCTTGCTGTAATGTCCCAGAAATGATTGATGTTACCGAGGTATGATACTTGTCCATCAACACGTGTAGCTTTACCAGCAGCTAGTCCTGATGATTGTAGAAGTGTGCAAAAGGACGAATTGTTGACTAGCATTTGCAGTGGTTTGCCAGATGCTCTTACTGTGATGCATCTCATCAAGTTTTGGGTCCGTCTTCCAGAAAGTTAAATGAGAAATAGTAAGTTAGTGGCATATGTCAGTATCTATTCATTCCACTCATTCTTAGTTACTGGGCTTACTTTTTCATGTGTTTTAACTTTCTTGAACTTATCAGCAAGTAGCAGAACTTAATATTTTGTTTAAAAACATATCACATGCATCACTGAATAACTTTTTAAATGATTTTGCAGTATTCTTCATTATAAATATGTTGCCAAAATCAAATATGGAGTATCACGTACAGTTGTGTGAAGCACAGCAAAGGTTTCTTGAAGCCAATAGAAATCTACCATGAGTTGCTGAGAATCTGTACAAAGTGTTCCAGAATGTCAGAATCATATGAACTTCTTAAAATATTCAAATAGTTGGCCTTCATGTTATATCACGATCGTATGCCATGTCACATTGTAGAATGTCTGGAATTATCTTGTTTCATTTATTAATGGCCCCACCCTTCGGTAGTCATATTCATTATCAAAGCGGAGTAAATTGTATTCTTCAAATGTCTCCACAGAAATTATTGCAAGGGTGTGAGGTTGTATTACCCTGTGATTCCAAAATTCTGGACCAGCCTGTATTGTGTGGTATGAAGTCTTCATCCTCATTTGCTGATCATGTTATAAGAGAAAAGTATGCAAAGAAATTATTAATTTTTTTTAATATCGTAGAGTACGCTTATTGGTAGTGATATAACTTTTAAATAAACTTGTATATAAAATACTTCTACTCGAGTGACATGTGCCATTCCACTCTTACATAGTTCTGAAACGAGTGTACAAAAGCTTTTTATCACCGAGTCTGTCTGGTCTTGCAACTTGTGAAAGGAATTGGTTTAGTTTATAATCCACACGGTAAGAATGAAAACATGGCACAACAAAATTTTTGTACACGTTGTTTTAATTCTTAAGTAGTGACATGCATTTTATTTATTTATTATTGCAATTTTAAAGAAATATTCATATTATCATATTTACTTGCGAATATAACTTGTACTTTGCAAATTCATTATCTAGAAGCTGGAGGTTCTTAGCGTTAGTCTCAGATTGCTTATATTTAATCAAATTATTGTTGTTGTTCGCAGTAAGATGTGTAGTGAAGGAGCATTTTAAATTTTTCTATCATTCTTGTGCAGAAAAAATGGGGTGTGAAATACATGCAAGTGCAAATGGTACTTAATCTTGTTAATGAATTTTGAAGTATCACGGATGGATGCAGAAGTTTGAGAACATTTGTTCCACACGGAATATTTTTCTTTCTATGTAATGGCATTGTTTGAAAATAGATCCGTGTAGACATTAGAAATATGTACGTATAATTTTATCTTTTTTAAGGGTTCGATAAATTTAATTTAGTGGAACAGAATGCATATCTCTGGAGCTTCTATATTAAGTTGATACAACGAGCACTTTTACTAAATTTCTGTTCAATCTAGTTCATGACCAGACATTTTTAATACAATTTTGTAGGCAATGGAAAAAATTGTAACTTGTTTGATAAGATGTAAACTGGTTTGTGTTCCTCAAGTTGCACTGCACGTGGGTTACTAACAACATGTTCAGCTTGCAGTGCAGGATGGATGGGTCTTCACATCCGATCTGTGTAGTTTGTAGTGGTCAGGTATAGTTTCTCTAGTGTTAGCATTCGCATGCTTTAGTCAGAACTATGTGCAATCTCAGTGGCATCGAAGACCATTAATTTTATTTTAAATTACATACAGTAGCAAATGTAAATATCAGTTATATATTTTGGTGCAGTTCACAATATTTTAAGGCTCTAGAGTTCAAAATAACTGTGAAAGAAATGTAGCCACTTTCTTTGGTGGCTCAGAGTGAGAGTATCAATGCCTTTAAGAGCTGGAGGCTCAGCATCAAGGTTTGATGCTGCAGCATCTGAGACTGGATACTAGGTGCTATGTAATAAGACTTATCATCGTATGTAGGTAAGTGTTATCTGATCCTGCAGTATTAATCTTAACAGCCTTTTCTGTACAGGCAGCTTAAATTGTGTATGCAGTTGTAGGACGTTAATCAAGGTGCCAGAATACATTTCCAACCTTGGCAACTTTTAAGTAACGTCCGCTAGCAGATGAATTTCTAGCCGCATAATATTACTAAGAGGCTCTTAATTCTTGTGCAAGCAGACTGAATCCACTTTATGTGTAACATAGTATGTTGCATGTTAGAGTTAGTGATGTAATACAGACAGATTTAATGCATTTCTAAATCAGTAGTTTCGCTCCTAGCACAACAGCAAAATATTACTGTAATATCAGTGCAAATGTGATTGAAGAGTTGACTTTTTATTTTGATTCCAATGTGTAGTTTGCATCTGATGACTGATCTGCAGTCAGCACATAATTTATGAGAAGACAATGATCATGGGACAAGTGTGGCGTGGCAGCTTGTGAAGACAAAATAGTGCATCAGTTAACAGCTTCAGATCCTGAATTGAATGTCAGTGCAGAATATTTATCATTTGACTTTTCAGTTAATTTTACAGATTAAGTACTGACATTGTTTTAGTGGACGCAAAATTCCGCTACCAACAACACATTCAGGTATAAAATAACAAAACTTGGCAACCAGATGTACTCCATGAAAGATTACTCATCATCTAATGAGCTATATTTTATTCCATTCTACTCAGCAGTCATGAAACATGGCCGGTTTCTACACATACAAAGATATCTTCACCTCAAAAATAATTAAAATATGGCAGACAGGACAAGTCCAGATTATGACATGTTGTGGAAGTTCAGAAGGGTTTTTGAGCACTTATATGTTATATTTCACAATATGCCACCTTACAGAATATTTGGTAGCAGATGAAATGGTAGCGAAATACAAGGGAGGTTTGTGATAGCAAGGGATATACCTGTGACAATTGTTTGTCTATGTAAACAATGATTGAATGCTACCAAAAATGTTAGTCCTACATACAGAACAGTGCTCCAGCTGACAAGAGTGGAGAGTGTCGGACACGAGCTTATTGCAGATAATTATTTTTTATCATCTCGCAGTACTCTTTACAGATCTACATGACAGGAAAGTATAAAGCTGCAGGACTGTTGGTCAAAATATAAAAAGCATGTCATCAAACGTTTGGCCGAAGTAGCTGAAATGTATGAAAAACAACATATGTGAAAGGTGGAAGTGGGCACCAGTTCTGTCTGTCATTGAGTCAGAAGAGAAGTATCTCCTCATCAACACATACAAGCTCTTAGTTTCATGTTTTTATGTGGATGAAGAAGGAAATACGTCCAGACCTTCGTGCACTGAAATTTACAACATGAACATGAGTTTTGTTGAGTTATATGAAGCCCAACAGCTACATTATTTTTCTTACAACTTGGACAAAGAATTGTTCTTCCGCTTAGTCAACTTTCCCAAATGCTATCATAATGCATGGTTCATGTGACAGTGCACTCACCCATAAAGTGTCGAGATATGTCATATGATTTCAGCCCAAGTCGAGTCATGGCTGGCCAACATCAGTAGTAGTTCACAAGTCATTCAAATTACTGACCTAGCAGATATTACCAAATGTTGCTTCTATAAATGAAAAATCTCAAAATCAGGTTACCAGTGTGAAGAGTATGATGCGGATCTCTGTGGTTATCCATGTCTGAAATAGTATCCTACAAAAGTGAATGAACTGAAACTTTCTTTTGAAGTGGTCTTTCATTTGGTGCCTTTTCATGAATGATGCTTTAGAGTGTTGATATTGAAAACTGTGATAACGACTCAGTCTGTAACTAAACGTGCGTATAGGAATGAGATGTGATGGAAGGTAAGAAGGAATGGAAACATCAGCAGTGGAACATTGCTTCGTGGTCTTAAAGAGAGCTTCTGTATCATTGAACGTTAAAGGCTTGTAGGTCAGATCAATTTTCATCTTTACTAAGATTTTCATCGTAGCATACATTCCCTGTATATTTTAACATACTAAAACAAACGTAACCATTAATGGATTTTATACAGATAACTGCTATGTTCATAAATCTTCCACGTACTTTTGTTGAATTGCATTGTGTTAACTTGTTACAGTATGGCCATTTTAACAAGCATTGTGTTAACAACTTGTTACAGTATGGCCATTTTAACAGAAGGCAGTACAAAAAGACAGATATATGGAATTTAATTCTGTCTAGTTTGATGCACGTGGCTCTTTAAGTACTTCGTACCACAGCCAAATACTGATATACTAATTGTGTTCAAAGGGTTAATATTGTTACCCAGAATCTTGTATACCTTTCATTCTGTTATGAAATAGAGTTTATTCAAAGTCAAATTTGCATCATTTGTGCTCATTTATGAACATTTAAAAAAGATTTTAGGGACAGCAGGATTAATTACAGTTTTTAAGTAGAAATTACTTAAAGGGCACACACTATTGTTTTCCTATCATGTGAAGTTTCTTTCTGAAATCAGAAATATGTGTCGTGCACCCATGTTTTGTCATACAAATGCCAGGAAATGATACTGTTAATGCACATGAGAATTCAAAAGGCGTCAGTATGTCTGTTGTAGCAATGATTCCATATTTACTGAAAAACATCGTCTGTTATGGATATACCATAAATCATAATTTATAAGATTTGTGAAAATTCCATTTTAGATGTAAAATGCCATCTGATTTAACTTCATTGCTTTGTGTTTTTTGGGTGATACACCATGGACATTCTTCCTTTGTTGCTGTTTAGAATACATTGCAGGGTTTTAGAAACCATCTTGCAGAGCTTTGTGAATGGCAAGCTGTTGCCAGTCTTCAAGTCAAGACTGTGCACTCAGCTTGCTCAATTTCCTTCCACCATAAAGCTAAATGAAGCAAAGTACATGTTATTGTAGCGTCATTTATAAAAGTCACTCAGAATATGAAACTGTATTTATTACTTATCAATTAATGATCGCAGTGTCAGATTTCATTCTTCTTATACTTTATGGGGATCTTTACAGTTTAGTGTTTAGCTTGGAAATCTAATATTTGTGGCCATCATTTGAATTGAATTTGTGTAATTTTTTTCCATGAGAAATATTCCTCCTGTCCTCACCCACAAATAATGCACACATTGAAAGCTGGAGCATGGCATTAGTATCATTGATTTGATAACACTTAATTCAAAGATTTTGCCTAAAACTGTACATTCCATTGGAAAGGAAAAGATCAGACAGAGTTGTGTGTGTTAAATCAGTGGGGTGACGGTAAAACCTTCTTTTAAAAGACAAAATTTTGTTTCTCTATCCACCCGTCTATGTATTGTGAACTTCCCTTTCTTTAACGTGCATCCTGAAGCTACCAATTATAGGATTTAATACTGTCTAATTAATAAAGTAAAAAAGTAATTAAGATGAATTAATAGACATGTGTATATATAAATAAGGCTGTTGTCAGTGTGGAAACACTTCAACAAATTTGGAATTTGCAGAACAGCTTTCATTTGTATCCGTCAAACTGATTAGTGCTGTGTGAGTCCATATTTGCTTTTTTCAGTGAAATGTCTAAGAGCTGTTCATTTGAACAGTGGGCTTTAAAATGATGATGATGATGCTGCATGCCAAACTTTGATCACAGTTCCAGAGATAAGACTGATGCACATGATATGATAATTCTTTGACCTCAGGTCTAACTTTGGAGAGCTGTGTTGTGACAAATTATTACAGTATTTGGGTATTAAATTAGAATAATAATATTTGTGAGAAAACTGAGAAGTAAAATGTATAAATAGTTATATATGAAATACACTTATCTTTACTAGTATTAATGCCTTTCAGTAATAGGGAACATTTTATTATTTGTCAAATTGTTGGGTTGTGAAATTAATAGAGCAATAAAAGTTTATGTACTGTGCAGGGAATTGAGAATATCAATTTCTGACCAGATTTTCAGTTGGAGTTATGCAGCGTGGAATGTTGCCAGAAATAAATTATGAATGGGTACATTTTTGTACCTTAAGAACAGAAACGCAAATGGCTCTGCACTGATTATTACTAACCTGTAAATTATTGTTCTAGTGCCAGTATATCCTGATTTCTGAACAGTATTTACTCATAGTATTTATTTAAATAAACATGGAATTACCGTAGTATTTACATTGTTGTGGACTGCAGAAGTTACGAAACTGCTGAGGCAGTCAGTTACTACTACTTTCCTGGAACGGTTGTATCTAGAGTTATAAAATGCATAATATGGTAAGTAGCTAATTCTTCTTATGGGTCCCAGGTTAAGCCTTCATTAACATGATATTTAATTCATTTACACATTCATATTCAGCCATAGGAAGGAACACACTAGTAAAAGAAGTTTATTTAAGACATATTTTTATGTTGATTCGGTAAGTTTTAAAATCATGTGAAGAAAACAGGTATTACTTAGTTCCAACTTTTAGTATATAAGTTTATCAACCACTTTCTGACTTTGAGAAGCAGCTACATTGATACTGCATACTTATTTTGTGATGTATGTGACATCTTGGAAATCACTTGGACACATGTTCAGGTTCCATGGAAATAACTGCATTCCATAAAGAAGTCAGTCATTTGTTTCAAAATGCTTAAAGAGAAGTGAAAATGTATTTATGCAAGCATCTGTTTATTCCTTTTGTTTTAATATAGCATTATTCATTCAGCAAGCTTGAAGTGTAGTAACTAGTTCCATTTCTCTAACAGATCAAATAAACAAATATTTATTGCTTCTGTTGTTGCAGTATTGCAAGATGTGGGTCATGTATTGCTTTTGAGATTTAAGAAAAGGGTCAAGATCACACTTTTTATGCATCTAAGATTAATTTTTAAAAAAATTAAATTGGGGGAATTATGTAGAACTGTAAGAGAGCATTTAAACTGTGAAGGCAGGTTAATAAGCCTTCATTATTCTGTATGTAATTTTTACCAAGTTGCTCACAGCAAAACTTGAACTGATATAAAAGAAATTAAAATATTATATTAAATACCTGTGTTCAACTGACAGTCTGGAAATGAGATTGAAACCTTATGCAAGTACATAGCATTTAATCTTTAATTTTAAGTGATATTCTTCAAAAATTTATGCATTTCATTTATTCAGAAGTATTGTTAATTTAAGAAATTATACAGTCTGTTCCATTTAAAATGTAACCATGACTACCACTCATGAACGCCTTCCCTCACAGCATGATGAAACAAGCGACAGTATGGAATTGTCGTAGCTGTTGTGTTATTCACCAATTCCTTGTCAGGATATCCTTAATGAAAAGCAGCAAATGATTTCAGTTCAAAGTTTTCAAGAACGAACATGTTCTGCACTTGAGAATGCACCATGGTGCATGTGCACTGCTTTAGTGAAAGTGGTTTGAGCAGAAGCCTATCATCCAGGATACCCTTCTCATGGGGGAGGCTGGGGGAGTGAGTGAACCTGCTTCCAATTTAATTTTTATGTCATAATACATGATTGTTTTAGGGTTGCATTTTAAATGGTACATTGAGGCTGTTGAAGCCATGCACGAACTAAACATTTCTATCTTTTTATTGTTTGATAGTATGTTGTCTCTTCTACATAATTATTGGTAAGCTACAGCTTGAATACATTGCACTGATTTTTCAGTGACACAGTATATAAGATTTATTATTCATTACAAAACCCACTCAAAGTCTTTGATGAATATCAAATCTAAAACTTCTTGACTATGGTGAAGAGTCAATTGAATAAAAATTTTCTTGGATATTATCCATCGTCTAGTAAATATAAAATGTAAAACGACGTTATGAATGTTGAAGGAAATGATAACCCTTGTTTTACGATTATCACAAATCATTTGATTCTAGCGACATTATATGCAGGGTGACTGCAGCATACTACCTTAATTTGGAAGATGAACTCGGAGATTTGTTCAAATCTGAAACTTGTCTTTTCATACTGTGATGACAAAATAATTGATTTGCTCACTGATCCCTCTGCCTGGATCTGTTTTATCTGTGCAGAAAGTGGGATAGACACTTACTGGCACAACTAAGACAGCATCTTCCCTGCTGGCCTCCTCACCAAGGTTTTTCTTCATCTTGAGTAGAATTACAGAATTTATTCACATGCAGCTACCCATTTGGGTATAAATGGGTGAACTTCGTGTAACCGTAGGTCCAAAACAGCGAGTTTCAGACACCACATTGAGTATACTTTACATTAATTCATGTAATGCTTGAGTTCTTTTCATGTGTGTGTATGAGCTGGTACCTTAAAGTTAGTTAATAGTTACATGCATGTATTGCAGTCACATAATTTTTTATTCCTCTATATAACATACTACAAAATGTGTAGTTCCAAGAGGTTTTGCTATGAGTAGTAATTATACATTGCTTACTGATCATATTTTTGTTCATTTTATGTTCGAGAAAGTAAAATGCATTATTTGACGTGGAGAGGCATTGATGTGAATTGGGCCCATAATAATTTAATCATAATTTTTAATTTCTGAGATGATGTGAAGTCAAGTGTGTTCTCAGGGCTCATTGTCAGCCATACTGTTTCAAAGGTTAGTGAATGAAGTGCTTGGCCCAGCAAAATTCTTAAAAGATTTTTTTAAAATGTTGACCAATGTGATTTCACACAGTGCAGCATTTACAGAATTACCATTACAGTAGGTATACTTTGTTGCTCCTGATAGCAAGCTGAGAGTCTTCTCAGCTTTGATTACTGGTGTGTCAACTATTAACATTTTAGTCATTATTAATTGTATTATGTGTACAAACTTTTCTGTAGGAACAAGTAAAAATAAAACATGTTATTAAAAATATTATTTCTCTGAGTTAGTTGTAAAATTCAGGATAAATTTAATCAATTTCAGGGAAAAGTATTTAGAACGAGAGGACCTGGCAGGCCAAGAAACTCCTGGCTTCAGAACCTAAAAACTTGGTTCTCGATGTCCACTGGAGGGCTCTTTCAAGTAGCAGCCAGTAAAGTTCAAATTGCTATGCTGATCACCAACATCCGGAGCAGATAGGCACATTAAGAAGAAGGCATGGTTTTGTTATGCTACCTGGAGAGTACAGTTTTCTTATTGTCCATGTGGAAGATTCTCTTTATCTGCTTAGAAATTCCCAGAACCTGTAACACTATCTGATCAACACTTGTTTATTCAGACCACCAACCACATGAAAACTTTTTTCCATTCACAAGGAGCATGGAAGAACCCTGGTTGGTAATGGGCAATTCATCAGGACGAAAGGTTAGTGTGTTGGCACTTGGAGGTTTTGCTGTCCACCAGTGACCTGATTCATACCACGGACAGCACGACGGTGTTCTGTTTATCCAGTTCGTCAGGAAAATGTGTAAGATGGTTACCTAGGAAATATCAACAATTTGTAAATATGGATCGACAACAATTGTCAGCTTGCATGCATTGTTATGTTACCTAGGAAATGTAATCTGTTTACTCGGCATTGTTGTGTTAGATTACTGCCGTCAACAGTCCGCTTTCGTAACAAGACGGATAACATTTCATTACATTACAGAGACGTAAATATAATATAAATGCAGTGATGTATTTACGTCAAATTCTCCGGAACCGCGGTTCCACTCTCAATTTTTTGATATGCTCGTTGACCTCTTGAACTTAAACAGACAGACGAAAATTCGATTTTCAAACCTGTGCTCTATTTTTTGTATATTAGTAAATAGATATTTTGAATCCTTCGTGACATTTATTTACTAATCTTGTTAGAAATGGGCATTATTGTGTAACTTGCAGATAATAGATGCGCAACAAATACTATAGAATCCCTGATAAGTGAACTACACGTAGACGGCGCTGGTGGTATAATATTTTCCCAAAGGCAGAGGTCGCTAATGGTATCATAATCTCGGAGTCATAGCTGTTTGTATTGACTGTGGGTGTTACAGTTGTATGTTAGAACTGCGTGAGGCGTAGTAGGTGGTCTCACAATCTGTGCACATTATTCTTAATGAGCGCCCCCCCACTCCCACTAGTTGAGTGAGCAAGTTAATATTGTGTTGTAGGATGGAGTTCAGTGATGCGGAGTCGTGTATTCAAGACTTTTCGGATCTTGGTGCTGAGTATAAGGTTTTAGAAGTGAGTGTACCTATGTTTGAAGGGAATAATATGGCACGATTGTTGGTGTCTATTTTATAATTTCAAAGTGTTGTAATTACGTCTTAAAAATGTATGTAACATTTTAACCCCGCATAAGTAACAGTCCACTCATGACAGTTTCATTTCAGTCTGTTAAATTTTGTATCTGCTATTGTGACAATGTTAATTTATGTCACCTGCATATTTTAGGAATTAAACCGAGAATATTTAAACAAATTAGAAGAAGTTGGCGATCTCCAGGCTAAATGTATAAAAGGAATTAATCATCAGAGATACCGCCTTGGAATCATTAATCGCTCTATTAAAAAGTAAGTAAAAGCAGTTCCTGCTGCTATCACCAAATATTTTTATTCATGTTATGTCTGAGTAATGAATTCATATCTTACATAATGGTAATGATCCTGTGTTTGTGTTAGGGTGTCCAGGAACATCAGCAAAAATGATGAAAATCGGGAAGCCATCCGTGATCTTGAGAAAGATTTGCTGCGACGGAAGGCTCAGTTGCACGAAATGGAACAATCTTTGCCCAAGCAAAATGGACTGTACCTGAAGATAATTTTGGGAAATGTTAATGTGTCAATTCTGAACAAGAATGACAAGTACGTATACAGCATGGATTCTATCATAAAATTACATGTAACACCCAGAGGACAAGGTCGAAGATATGTCAGTTTTCTGCATTCAACCACCTGACATGGCTGGTAGCCCAAGAAGAATTCATTGTACTTATAACCACAGCAGACTGTTCAGGGAAGCTGGCAAGCAGTATGGTGACTATACAGGCAGTCATGTTTAAAGTAAACAGGTTCCTTGGTACAGGCAAAGGTCATGTTTAAAGTAAACAGGTTCCTTGTAGTTCTCTTTGTATGCTTATATCTGTTAAACTGTGGATATTTATTGTGGTATTAGCTTTGTATAAATCAAATGTATAAGGAGTTCTATAGCCCTGTGTCTTGTTAACTCATTTTTGTAAATTACAGTATCATGTGATGTAATTCCATACAGTGTGAATGATGCAGTTACATCATGTCTCAACAGACGTCATACAGTCAGCTCCTTCTCAGTTCTGTAAATAAAATATAAATGGAGCAGACAGTCTGTTGCTCCTACAAGTAATATTGCTTTGTCAAGATGCCAGTCATATGTGAATGTAACTCTTGCCTGAAAACTTCAAATTAGCCATTTTTTGTGTTATGGAGTTAGATCAGTTTAGTAATATTTCCAGTATTATGAAAATTGCATTTTCTTCATGATTATGTTCATTCACAATTTGAAAAAAAGGAAAATAATTCAATTTAGAAACATCAAAAGGGGTGTACTCTTTGCGTGTGTACATCTCTGTTGTACTGCTGCAGTGTTTATTTAGCACTCGAGTAAGAATACAGTTTTTATTACTGTATACAGTGATATATAAAATACTGTAATTTGTTGTAATGTTCTGATTTTTATTCCAGGTTTCGCTACAAGGACGAGTATGAAAAGTTCAAACTAATTCTCAGTGTGATTGGTTTTGTACTTTCTGTTGTGAACCTTTTCACCAATGTTCGGTGAGTTTTCAGTTCAGAATAAAACAAAGGATATAAAAATACATTGGTGTTTTCACTTTTATACAATGCAATTGCTATTGTCTGGATACTTCCATCTGATTCTTTCTGATGCAGTGAATCAGGATAATTGATTGTAGTTTTGATTTCAATTGCATTAATGCCAAATAAATCCATCTTGAGTGAACCTGCTGTGTCACAATATTAATAACAATTCTGATCTTATGTTAAGTGAGATTTTCTTAATTATAGTGGGAAAAGTTTACTGTGATTTCAGCTTTGAATTTCTGTTAGAATTTAAATAGTTTTAGGGCATGTGATATGTATGTATTAAGTGTTTGTGTTAAGAACAAAAATGAACAAAGAGAAATTGAATATTCATTTGCATCATCTTTTGGGGTATCACCATATTTAGGAATAAAAATATATGACAGTGTTTCGGAGAAACCTCTTGGCTCCCTTAGGTTCAAAGCTAGGAAGAAAGGCACTCTGTTGATTCTTAGACGCCATCAGGTGTAAGATGCAACCCAGTTTCATAAATTGTAATATGTGAAAAGTGTGTCTTAAAATCAAGGAAATATGTTTGGGTTTTTCATTGCATACTCTTCAGCTGTGAGTGTAATTGGGGTTGGCAGAGAAAGGGTTGCCAGAGGTTATTTACAAATCGCATCTAAATAAAGTGCACAAGGGTGCAGTGCTTTCTTTTCCTCCACTTTCATTTTTGAATATTCAAATGCAGTTTGATATGAATTGACTCAAGGGTGCAGTGCTTTCTTTTCCCCCACTTTCATTTTTGAACATTCAAATGCAGTTTGATATGAATTGACTGATTTCTGTTTATATATCAGTGCACTGGAGTTGAGCTTCATGTTTTTGTTGGTATGGTACTACTGTACGTTGACAATACGTGAAAGCATCCTGAAAGTGAATGGATCGCGCATCAAAGGGTGGTGGCGTCTGCACCATTTCATCTCTACAGTTGTCTCAGGTGTTCTCCTTATCTGGCCAAACACAGGGGCGTGGTACGAGTTCCGTGAACAATTCATGTGGTTCAACGTCTACATCAGTAAGTGTAAAAATAGTCATAATGACTGTTATTTTAATAAATGGCTGATTATCTAATTTGTAATGTTCTGTTGCATTTATTTTTGTTTATTATATTGAAGAGATTTCCCCATAATACCACCTATCCTAGAGAGGGAAATGTGACAGCTTCGGGGAGGGAAGGCAATGCAGAGTGGTGAGCCCGTGGGGCTCGTTCTTACAGCCTGACCACATTCTGCAGTATCTGTATCTTATTCAATGTCTCATTGTTAACCGCATGTAATGTTATGACAAAGACAGGCCTGGAACCTCTTGGTGTTATGTAAATAAATTGTCATCATGATATCAGCTCTTGGTTTGATTCATCCTTCTGTCTTCCTCAGCATCTTTTGCCCTTTGGTTGATATAATCTTCCTATAATAACTATAATTCATATTTAACACATATTATTTGTTGACAGGTGTCGTGCAGTACTTGCAGTTTCGTTATCAGCAGGGCGTTCTCTACCGTCTGAAAGCTCTAGGAGAGAGGCATAACATGGACATCACTATTGAAGGTTTTCATTCCTGGATGTGGCGTGGTCTCAGCTTCCTCCTTCCATTTCTGTATGTAGGCTATATTTACCAGCTTTACAATGCCTATACTTTATACCAGCTCATCTTCCATCCTGAAGCCACCTGGCAGGTAAGTTGAAGTTTGTTTGATGGAAAGGTTTAAGAGGCGTAGCTTTTCCTGACTTCAGGGACTCAGTGACTCCCTTTATGGACACTTGCACAGAATGCTAACGAAACCATACTTTGTAATGGATGTACAGTATTGCCTATCTCGCAGCGTGTGACAACACTTACCTTAAGCTCCAAATCACTATTTTGCAACTAGACTGTTCCATATGCTACATCTCCTTTAGAAGCAGTATTGTCATAAACAGCTGTTTCACATGCCCTGTGCTCATGAAATTCTTTTCTTAACGAGTTCACAAATATTCCTTCCCCGCTACTTTGAATTTTTCTTTACCAGTTCTTTATTACAAGACATTTATGGATGCAACTCACACTTTTCAATATTTCATCCATGGGTTATCTAACATTTCTGACTTAATTTTATTTATCATTTTATGCCAAGTGGGTTTCAGCACGTCATTACTGATTCGAATTAACCTCTCCCTCGATCAGATTTGTCATTGCTGTGAAGAATTACTGTTGGCAGCTATTGTTTGTCTTCATATTGTGGTATGAGGCATTGTAAAATCCCAGTCAGGTTTCTTTCCTGCCCATTTCCCATAATTTTGTTGGCTTGTGTGATGATTGCAATTGCATCTTGTCCTGTGAGACTTATGTATGAGCATTTTAGACAAAACGTGGCACAGTTACCTGCACACATTCTTATTCTTTGTACAGGTTCCAGTGTTATCTGCGTTGTTCTTTGCGCTCTTCCTTGGCAATGCAGTCACCACATCAATGGTGATACCTCAGAAACTGCAGGAACAAGTCAGATTTAAATATCAGCTTGTGGGGCTTGAACGACTTTCTTGGGGTGGCAGGCAGTAAACTATGTGCTACAAAGGTAAGCACATTTTTAGCCTTCTTGTCCTGTTTTATATGGAATGGCGGGCATGTGGGCATGTGATGTCGTGTCCATGTGTTTGAAAGCAATAATAGCAAATGGGAAGATCAAAATAATGCACGGCCATCACAGTATAAAGATGCGAAGTGTATGTTAACATTAAGTAGATTTTGGTAGATATCCAATGAATACATTTTCATTCACTGTGAATATAATCTCATTTTGCTACTGTTTGGTTCCAACAAGACTGCAAAACAGTAGATGAATACTTTAAGGAATGTGTTTGAACATCGAATAATTTACTGTTGTGGTGGCATTTCTTGGCCAGCCTGTTTGCCTGATCTGTCAGCCTGTGATTGTATTTTTATGGGGCTACTTAAATAGCAAAGTGTTTCAAACACATCTAGCAGACTTAAATAATCTGAAACAGAGAATTTCTGAAGAAATTATTGCCATATTACTGTGCATAATGAATCAAGTGCATCAGTAATGGCAGACACCCGTCTTTCAATTCACATTTGAATAATCTCTGGTTGACTAGTGTAGATTTAAAAATGATCAATGAACGCTACCCTGCTCTGTATAATTCAGAAGGTGTTACTCGAATTATATACTGCAAGAAATGCTTACAAAATTAATTTTCCTCAGTAATGGCATAACTAAGTAACAACTAACAGGAATGGCACGTGTAATAAGTTAATGCATAAATAACGTGTTACAATTAAAAAGTTTCTTATGAACGATTAAGAATTCTATGAAACATGACCAGCACTTGCTTCACATTTTGATAGTAGGTACTTTATATTAATGTAATCAGGATTAATAATAAATATTTTGCATCTTGTATAAAACCGTAAATGTTCAGGTGGATACAAATCGTAACCATGTTAAGAATTCAGACTTTGGCAGAACATAAGAATGAGTAGTAAGCAGTGCTGGTAACATGGATGTCATTCCGCCTGCAATGCCAAATAAATTAAAGCACCTGAGAGGTCAAATTATTATACCATGTGCATAATATAGATGTAATTGAATTGATTTTTGTTTTACATTGTGAGCTACTTTAGGGTGGGAAGTCACTTCTGTTTACATTGAATGTAATTAATAAAAAATAGCTGTTTGTTCCACATGGAACTTTCATTCGACCAGTAGAGGTGTGCATTCCTGTTACCAGTGGTCAGTGTTGCACCAAGCAATCGAGCGTCCTTTCAAGACATGTGAATGTGGTCACGTGATTTGTGTCATATATGACTGACTGACAATAGACATCTCATACAACGTTTGCCAGTTCATCGAACAGTGTAACCTGTAGTTTGTTTGAGTGAAAGCAACAATCATTACATGGCAGATCAGTGTTGCAGTGTAATATGATTGTTTTTGACAAATTATCACAATTTGTAAAGATGAATGTGTGTTTCTTTTTGTATAAAACTGTGGACATCATTGTATTGTCTTTTATATAATTATAAACTACTGTATGCAGGATGCATAAGATGATGTATGCTTCATGGGTTATGTAACGGAAATAAGAGATAGTTTCAAAAAGACATTATTTTTGAGATTGTGGGGGTTCTGAATGGGGAACATTAAATAATATTTAGTTTATGGTTAAATTTGTTTTCCATGTAACATTTTGTATATGTATATAAATGTGTGCCGTGACTCCCAGAGGGGGTTATTTCCTGCAGTTGCAGAGCACAATGTTTTGCTCAGTGTTGTTGGTTTATGGAGACCACTGTCAGTGGATTACAATAAATGTCTCAGTAATATGTTTCATTCTCTATTTCAGTTTTGTTTTCAAGAAGAAAAACAACCTTCTTATGTGACGTGTTTTCTATGCTTGTGTAACTATTCCCATACCATATGAATAAGTTGTTGAAAAACTCTATAGGAAGATCAAAGTTACCAGAAATTGCACTGAGGCCATGTTTTTTACAATACTTAAAATATCTCTGCTATGCTCACTTTTAAGGAGCCTATAGGATCTATCACCATGTGAATGACAATAGATCTTTTAAAAATATACAAATTTTATTGGATAGACATTCGTGTAATTAAGAATCACCCTGTACAGGTGTGGGTGCGTGCATGAGCGCACACACCTTTACATTACATTTTATGGATGTAATAAGAAATAATTTGTTACTGTAGACATTGGTCTGACATCACGGCGACCAGAAAATTCAATTCCTACCACAAAGTAAGAACAAAGTTCAATTTGTGAATTTTTGGGACTTGTACTACTTTTACCTCTTCTGTTTTTCTGATCAGGTGAAAGATACAACATTGGTTCCTACTGCATCATTGTCATCAGTAATCAGTTGTGTCACCATTACAATGATCAGTTTGTTAATACTCTGGGACTTTAACCTCTTCTCCTTCTCAGCTGAAACATGTAATGGATGGAACATGCCCATAAGGCCATGAGACATTCATGCACCTGGAATGCTCCTATTGACTCAGAAAAATAAAATAAAGGCTCATTGAAATCAGTGGGAACTGAAAATAATAATTTTATTTGTTACCAAAGCAATCTGGCTAAAACATCTGAATTGAGAAAGTAACTGGAAAATCATAGTGGAATTATAGGGAGGTTTGAAGCAATACTTTATTACCAAACCTAAAGTACAACAGGGAGTTCAGCATACAACACACAAAGCCTACATTCATATTGCACAGACTTCCAGTCTAACTTATCTTGTGGTGTTAAAATTTCTTTTATGTAATATAAATTTTCATAGTACAAAAGAGTGCAGTTTAGCTCTTGGGCTTCTTAATATTAATATTGTTCTTTTAGAAGGAACCTATTATCGGCTTCTTAATATTAATATTATTGTTCTTTTAGAAGGAACCTATTATATAAGCACATTTTTTGTCTATGTTATATTTGTCAGAGCATAGAAGTTTAACGGGGCCCCATATTTCAAATTGTTGACTTATAAACACTATTGCATACAACATTTGTAGGTATTTTAAAGAGTATTAGCTGATGCATCTATAAAGCAGGAGTTTCACTCTCCCCATAGACTGGTGGCCAGCCTGTTCACATGAATCTTGTAAGCTCAGGTGGCTGGTAATTGAAAAGCCAAGAAATACCTAGAGGGATAGGGTACATCATTGGAGAACTCAATTGAACAATTATCAGAACTATAAAATACTGGCTATTCGGCTGTGTAAATTTCAGTTGGATGTCTTTCACTGTGGAATGAGCAAGAGTCAAAGTGAGCAGTAGTAGATACAGAGCAGGAGTATTACATATGTGAATAAGAAGTGGAGAAGATAAATGTTTTAGGGACTAACAAATTGAAAGAGTAACTGGTGTTATTTCAGTTGTTCTAAGCGTAATAAAGAGGAAACATTATTGCCTGTAATAGCATGTACTCCACCTTTTCATGGAAGATCAAGCATACAAAACTAGCATGTTAATAGCCGAGGTTTGACAAACATTTTAGCATTTAGGGTTGCAAGAGTCATCCCTGAAGCCCAAACTAAATAGTCTCTTCTGATAACACCTGCGATAACAGACGGCGAACGTTATCTGTGGCTAACAACACCTGTGATTGTTTGCTTGGGGCTGCATTTTGTCGCTGTTGTTGTTCCAGTGTACAGAGCACAGAGTACCACTGAAGTGCGAAAGCAAGAGTTTTTTGTTTTTCAAACTACTTGCTGGCTTCGTTCGTCCTCTTACCGAAATTATTAAATTACGGCAACAGCATATTACACATATGGAATTTTGTTAGTACCTGTCCAGCTTTATCGAAGTAACATGAGCTGCTGTGAAATCCGGCATGCAGGTTAAGTGGATACTATCATACAAAAAAATTTGTATTTGTTATCCAACATGGAACCTAATCCAACATTTTCTGAAACACATTTAAAATATATTACTAACTACAGATTTTCCAATGGACGCGATGATATCAGAACATTTATTTCATAAAACGGGTATATAAAAGAGAAGTTTCTTACTGAAATAAATTTCCAAGCTTAGTTAAGGTCCATTTACATTTTATTACCCATTTTCCAATACTACAAACTACATCGAACTTAACCCTGTAATTATTATCGTTGAAACGTTGGAAAGGGAAACGATTTATGTGATATTCTCAACCTATAGCTGTAGCTTAGTTTTCAGTGACCCCACATGCGCGCTACCTTGGGGAACGTTGTAGCCGAACTTGGAACTAAATAGTCGGTCTGTTTTGGGGTTATTCCGGACGTGTGTAAACTTCGGTAGCATTTGATTTTAAAAAATGTCATCTGTTCAGAAGCATGTCTGTGTGCTTTGCAACAACAAATTGGATTCAAAAGAAGCCCTTCAAGAGCACTTCAGGTCAGTTGATTTCTTGTTCGCCTCATCTGGGAGTAGCTTTTTTAAAATTTCAAGTTTACATTTGCTTCATACAGTAGCAAATCAGGTTCAGTGTGCAATAAATTGTTCTCTTGATTATTGACATTAGGAAACATGCTAACAAAGAGATTGACAGTAAGGGACGGCCTATGAAATCCCGACCTGGAAGTGCTGGCAAGACTTCTAACAAACAGTTGACACCAAGTCCAGGTCGTAGTAAATCTGGATCTAGCAACAATGCTGATATTGTGTGCGATGTATGTAGTCAGGTTAGTATGCTAAGCCTGATAAAACTAGAGATAGGAGGATCCGTGATTAGCTGTGTGACGAGGTACATTAATGCTGAATATTTCAGTGCCCCAGTAGCTTTTAGTCGTCAGTTTTTAAATTGTACACAATTGTAATTAAACATTATGGCATTTTAGCTAGTTCTAATTGAATAACACTCCCTCTCTCACACCATAGTTGCAACCAGAGTCGCAAGTTGTGTTGACAAAGCAGGAAACCGTGACACCTTTCTGTTGCATCATTGCTATAGTAATTAAGTTGTAATGCTTTTCCAATTTATGTAACAATTTAATGTACTTCTGAAGATGGCTGCTGTCTGGGTTGTGGTGCTGTGTAGTCTGGTAAAAATTTACCAACATTTCACAAGTCCTTGCAGCCTATATCATCAGGGTGAGACTACATTGCACTACAATCCAGAGGACAGCTGTTAAAACCTCAAATCCTGCTAAGGTACTTCTGTTCATGTTAACTGTAATTTATCATTTTCAATAGTTACTAAAGCACTAACTTTCATGTTGTAAGAGATTTGAGGTTCTCATTGCAGTGAAGATGTTGATCTGAGTTGTGATGCTGTGTTGACTCAGGGAGATACTTCCTCCACCTTCAGCCTGTCTTCATGATGGCTGAAGATGTAGACAATATGAAATGTCAGTATCACAGTCAGTCCACACATCATGACAACCTAGAAGAACAACACTTGTGTGATTACAAATATTTATACAGTATGCAGCTTCAGTTAAGATTTTTTAAAACTGCAAAACAACTAAATAGTGGTGTGTAGATTTTGGTTTGTTGGCAGTAACTAATGAACCATTCATATGGCTGAACTGTATGCCAGTTCTGAAGCCCTTCTTTTCATGAGGCAGAAACCTCAGAAATGTTACCTCTTATGCACAGATTCCTTAAGTGCAAAGTTTCTGCGGGTAGGCAGAGACCATTAGTTGTTTATGAGATTGTGCTAAGTTTTGCACATGGAAGTCTGTTTTCGTCTGCTGTTGACACAGGCCTGCTTGGTAATGACATTACTGATGCAGCAGCAGCTGCTAAAGCAGCCACTGCCCGTGGAATTTATTACATCTAACTGAGCTCTGGACAGTGTGATATTTGTGCCTCTGTCGTCATGCTGCATTTCATCCTCATGGCACATTATGTGACATCCTTTGAGATGACTGCTATTGCTTGTCCAACATTATGCAGTCCTTAGCAGTATAGGATTTACCGAGTCTCTGTAACTACCAATACATATTTTATTACTTCTTCTTTGTTTGCTTTAATCTTCCTTGCTTCTGTTGAACTGCTGTAACGTTTTTGTCATTCATATTATAGGCACACTGTTTTTAGGGCCTTAATGATGGGATTCTCTTACAGCCTGGCATAGTTTTGTTACTTTCTTCCATGTGGTTTCTTAGAGCAATAATTTTTAACTTCTGTCATCAGTGTCATTGTCGTGCCTTTTACAGTCAAGTTTTTGTTTGTTAGACATGAGCTTAAGGTGCCAGGAAAGGGATCCTTTTAAATGCTCTACTTAAAAGTTATTCTGTGGAGCTGAGTTCTTGAAACGCTCATAATCACTTATTTAGTCAAGGCATTTTCCATCGTTTATGGTTCCCAAGGTTTAGTACTGTGTTTACAAGTGCCCGCCATTGGACCCCATCCTGACCCAAATGAACTCAGTCCTTAGTTTTCCACCAAAACCCTGTATGCACCTCGTCTCTCTCGTGCTCTTCATGCTCTGCCCATGGCATTATCTCATGAAGAGTACAAATTTTGAAACCTCTCATTATGCAGTTTTTTAAATCTTCCTCTTACTTATTTTCTTTTAGGTCGAAATAGCTTTATTTGAAACATAAAATGGAAGTAACTGAATGCAGCTTCCACTTCACTTACATGTGCATGTCTTTATTGTTAAAACTAATGTTAGCCAACAGGTTGCATGAAAAAAGTTTTTTCATAAGTTACTTGCCCCGATGTAATTTTTCAGCATTAAATCTGATAGATGTACCTATCCCTAAAGTAGCCCAAATAATAAGATTGTGTATATTTTTTCAGGCTTTTGACAGTGTAACGCTTGCAATTCAACACAAGTTTCGTAAACACCCAGAAAGTGCAGCAAAGCATTTTTGCCCATATTGTGGGATGCAGTTTCCACTGAGAATCAACCGGGATAAACATACTTCAGCAGAGCATCCTGATTGTACTCCCAGCAAGCTGTTGCCTTGTGGAGACTGTGGTGTCGTTTTCTATACAGATGAAGCCGAAGCATATCATTCCAAGTCAACACACAAGAGGTATGTACAGTACAATACAGAACAGTCAATTTGCAGATGGAACAAGAAGGGTACCATATTTAACCATGTATAACATATAACACAGTTTTTCCCCTCACAATAGAATGTTATCAGATACAATTTTAAACTGACTGACTCTACGGCGCAACAGCCCGAAGCTGAGCTTTGGCCTCCTCCCATTTGAGAGGTTTCTTTGTCTTTGAAGTGTGAATTTATGAGTAGTGAGTGGCTAGCCCACTGTCTCTGCACAATTTCTACTCAAAATCTTGGGTCCAGTGGCGAGCACGCTGACCACTAGTCCACTTTGGGCGACTTACAATTTTAAAGCTAATATTTATCTGACGGTAATATGTAATTTGATTTGAATTGTTTGATGTTCTAAATTTTCTTTGATAATTATATATTTTCTTTTAAGATTATAAGAGTACTACTTATGAAACTCTACAGCCTGGACAAGTACTGAATTGGTCATGTCTGCTATTTGAATTGCTAAATGTAACCTACTATTGTTTATGGATGTGAAAACTATGCCTGTAGTGGCAGAAAATATTTTTCATACCTGAACTATTCCTGTTAAAAGTGGAAGATAAGTACCGTGTCTGTGCTGCTGTTCATTGTGTACACTATTTTACAATATCATTCAATGCTATAATGGATGATGGGTTCTCCCTCTGTAGAGGGGAGTAAAGATAGTTGGACAGTAAAGCAAATTCAGGCGCTTTCCTTTGCCTTCATGGCACAGTGTGTTTCGATATTAACATAACTTTGAACTCTTGTCAGGATTGTGGCATTGTTCCAGCCTGTGGCTACTCCACCACCATCAAAGAAGATCAGGGTGAATAATGCAGGTGAAGCACAGTCAGTCTACTACTGCCACCTGTGTGGTTTTGAATACATTGTCAAGTTCAACCTGCAGAAACATCTCGAGCGTCAGCACTCAGAGCAGGAACAAAATAAAGTCCCTGAGTGAGTTAATAATTGAAGTTAAATGTCAGTATGCTGCTTGGATGCAGTAAATCTCGGAATACAGTAGGGCCCCGCTTTACGGCGATTCGCTAATACGGCGCTCAACAGCTGAGTCAGAGAAGTGCGTCCGGCGCCATTTTCTCGTCGCTGATTCAGTCTGTTTACAGATTTTGTGCGCTCCGCGTCTCCATATTTCTGGCAATTTTTCAAAGTTATTACAAACTGTATATTTACGTAATATTTTTGTGTTACTACAGTGTAATTACAATGGCGTCTAAGGGTAGTAGCGATAAAAAGAGGAGTCGTAAGCCTCTTACTTTAAATGCCAAGTTAGATATAATTAAACTTCGTGAACAAGGCATGTCTATGGCCGAGATAGGACGTAAGCTAAGCCTAGCTCGCCAAACTGTTAGTGCAATCGTGAACGCTAAGGAGAAAGTGTTAAATGAAATTAAA